TTTTTCCCTTCAACAGAGCGATCGCTCTGTTCCTGAGTACTTTGGTGAGCTGAAAGGTCTGATCGATGAATTAGAGATGTATCAGTCTGCCGTTACGGATGCATCAACGTTGTTGGGATATCGTAGGGACCTAGCAGTGTCCAAGTTCGTGTCTAGTCTGAGTCCCACTTTATAATCTCAAGTACGGAGCCAGATACTAGGAGGAGATACTATTCCCTTATTGATTGCTATATTCTACAATGTTATGTAGGTATCTACTAGAGTTACTATTGCATCTCTCACACCATCTTCTCTGTCACTTGATCAGTCTGCTATGTTCTCCGAACGTGACAGAGGTCGAGGTCGTGGTTGGGGACGTGGCCGCGACACGGGAGGAGGATAAGACTTTTTTGGTGGGAGACAGATTGACTCGCGTCTGTATCAGTGCAAACATTGTGGAAGGACTAATCATATATTTAAAAAATACTAGAAAAAGTTTGGTTGTCCTACATGGGCCCAGATGGCTGATACTACTTCTACCTCTGCTATTTCTCCTGCGAGTACTTCAACTCCTTCCACAGTTCAAAATTTTCAGGCTGAGTATGACCGACTACGTCAACTCGAGCCTTCTCAGAACAGTCATTCTGTCACTCATGCATCTTTTTCAGGTATAATGCTTACATTGAATCTCCTCACAGACCATGAGTATTACATTGAATCTTCTCATATGACAGGTATAAATGATCGCTTTGTATCTTTAAACCTTTCTGATAAGTTTCCATCTGTTCGTATTGTTGATGGTACTTACTCTACAGTTCTTGGTGATGGAGTAGTCCATGCTACTTCATCGTTGACTCTTACTGATGTTCTATATCTTTCTAAAATTTCTTGTTAGTTTACTGTCCATCAGTAAGTTTACCAAACATAATAACTGCAAAGTAACAATCTTTCCTTCTTATTGTGTTTTTAGGACCTAGCGACTGGGATGAAGATTGGTTCGGGACATGAGAGAGGAGACATGTACTATTTGGACTACAATACGCCTGCTACTGGTCTTGTTGCAGATAAATTTGATCATCCTTTATTGTGGTATTGGCACCTTGGTCATCCGTCGTTATCAAAGCTTTGGTCTGTCATTTCTATCCATTTTTTGTTTCTTTTTTAGGTTGTGAGTCTTGTGAACTGGGTAAGTACCATCGTGCTATTTATCAGAGTCATGTTGATAAACGCAGCAGTTCTGCGTTTGAGTTAGTTCATTCTGATGTTTGGGATCCTTGTCGTATACTTTCTATGAAAGGTTTTAGATATTTTATTGTCTTTGTTGATGACTTCTCTCGCATGACTTGGCTTTATCTGTTAAAAGAGAGGTCTGAGGTTTCAACTGTTATTGAAATGTTTTACAATGAAATAAAAAACCAAATTTCTACTTCTATTCGTATTCTTCGTACCGACAATTCTTTAGAATACATGAAAAATGATCTCTCATTTTTGTGCAAATATTGGTATTTTTCATGAAACTTCATGTTCTCACACTTCACAACAAAATAGAGTTGCTGAGAGGAAGCATAGACATATTTTAGATGTTGCTAGAATTTTAATGATACATATGAATGTTCCAAAGTATTTGTGACCTGATGTTATTCTTAGTGCATGTTTCTTGACCAATAGGATGTCCTCTTTTGTTCTTAATGGTAAAATAACGTTCACCTGCATTTATCCTGAGAAACATATTTTTTCTATGGTTTCTCATGTCTTTGGCTGTACTTGTTTTGTTCAGGATTTGTCTCCGGTACTGGATAAACTGTCTCCACGGTCTATTAAGTGTGTCTTTGTAGGATATTCGCGTACTCAAAAATGTTATTGGTGTTATAATCCATCCACCATGAAGTATCTTGTGTCTGCTGGTATTACCTTTTTTGAGTCTGTTCCATACTTCTCTTCGGGTTGTTCATCTCTAACTGTCGATCCTTGTGTTCCTCTACCATCTATTGCTTCTATTGTTCTATTATCTGCTTCAGTTCCTTCTAATGTTATATGTTCCACAGGATTAGAGGATGACTCTAATGTGCCACCTGCACCACTGCCACTACTGACATATTCTCACTCTATAAAAGTTCCTATCCCTCTTTCTGCTCTGTTCCAGCCAATAGGTCATCCCCAGTTATCGGTCTGCCTCCTACTAATACTTCTATTGCTTCTGATTTGGATATTCCTATTGCTCATCGGAAAGGAAAACGATTTTGTACTAATCATCCTATATCTGATTTTTGTATCCTATGACTGTCTTACTCCATTTTCTCGTCAGTTTGTTTTGTCCTTGTCCTCTATATCTATACCCAGGTCATATGAGGAGGCAGTGTTAGTTCCTGCTTGGAAACAAGCCATGGATGAGGAGATGAGTGCACTTGTTTCTAGAGGGACTTGAGATCTTGTTTCCTTTCCTACGGGTGCTACTGTGGTTGGCTGTCGGTAGATATATACATTCAATTATCGCACAGATGACTCTGTTGATCGCTATAAAGCTCGTCTTGTTGCTAAGAGTTATACTCAAACTTATGTGGTCGACTATCTTGAGACGTTCTCTCCCGTTGCCCGTCTCAATTCTATTTGCCTCCTTTTCTCTATGACTGTTAATCTGGACTGGATCATGTTTCAGTTTGATGTTAAAAATACCTTTCTGTATGGTGACTTACAGGAGGTTGTTTATATGGAGCAACCTCCGGGGTATGTTGCTCAGGGGGAGGAAAAATACGATTTATGGTCTCAAACAAAATTCACGGGTATGGTTTGAAAAATTTAGTACTGTTATATCTGATGTTGGTTTTAAACGGTGTCATTAAGAACACTCGGTCTTTATTCGACGTACTATATCTGGTTTGGTGATTCTGATCATATATTTGATGACATCATGCTGACTGGGAGTGACCTTGCTGTTTTAGCAGAAACTAATGAGTACCTTTCACGTCACTTTGTGACCAAAGATATGAAAAAACCCAAATACTTTCTTGGGATTGAGATTGCGTATCAAAAAAACCGTTAACTTATATCTCAAAGGAAATATGTATTGGATCTATAAGGAAAAATGGGTCGTTTAGGGTGTAAGCCAGCAAGCACTCCAATGAAGGTGAATGTGGATTTGTAGCGTGATAATAGTCCTCTCCTAGATGATGTAGGTCGATATAAGAGATTGATTGAAAAGTTGATCTATCTTATTATGACCAGGTCTGATATCACCTTTGCAGTGGGAGTACTGAGCGGGTTTATGCATAAACCAAGAGAGGTTCACTAGATAACAGCTCTGAGGATTTTAGCGTATGTTAAAAGCTGCACTAGAAAAGGATTACTGTATAAGAAACATGGACATTTACACAACTTTGCCTTTTCTGATGCTGGGTATGCGGGAGACATAGGATATAGGAAGTCTGCTTCTTGATTTTGTATCTTTATCAGAGGAAATTTGGTAACTTGTAGGAGCAAGAAATAAGATGTAGTATCTCGATCTAGTGCATAGGCAGAATATAGAGCTATGACTCACACTGTCTGTGAGATGATGTGGTTGCAGTAATTGTTAACAGAGCTTGGTTTTACTCAACTTGGATCTATGCCTATGTATTATGACAACCAGTCAGCCATCTATATTGCAAAGAATCCAGTGTTTCATGAGAGAACTAAACACATTGAGGTTAATTATAATTTTGTCAGAGATGCTTGGGAAAAGAAAGTGATCTCTCTTCATTTCACTCCGTCTTTAGAACAGTTAGCTGACATTCTCACTAAAGCTACCTCACCCAAGGTGTTTTCCATTTTGTGTAAAAAGCTGGGCATAATTGATATATATATGCTCCAGTTTGAGGGGGAGTGTTGGTATTAGTATTGGGATTATTGGGTTTAGGCCCATTAACCTATTACCCGTATGAGTTATATACTCCTATATATAGCCCCTATGTAGATGAATAAAATTGAGCACTTCTGATTTATCTTTTCTAATTGTTATAACGTTTATTTCCAGAGAAACAAATCTCATAATAATAAACACTAAAGATGCAATCTAATCAAATCCTAATTGAACTCGAAGATAATATCAAATCAAATAAAAATCAAATCTTCCATAAAAATAAAAGATTACATTAGACTACCAAAATACAGAGTCTCTTAATTTGTATTAATAAATATTATTGGCTTCTAGTCAACGGTCCATGGTCATTTTGCATCACTCATAAGTCATACATATCAGAGCATAGTGGACTGAGGTCTTTATAATCATGTACTCGTTGTATTTTGGAAGTCATGCAACACCGATAGCCAGAGAATCTCTTAATTCATCAAAAGTGACATGTTTCTATAACAAGTTGAAAAGCAATGACATGTAGAGGCCATGCATCATAAATGTCTTTATATAGAAATAAGCCTTATAGTAACATTAACTAACAAACAATCTATGGATGATATCACATATGTTATTATCAGGTATAATATTGAGATTGAATAGATTCATGTCTGTTCAAAATATGGTTTGGGTGGCTAGAAGCATAAAGTTATCGGAAGATATCATAACCTGGTCTCAAGATATACTGTAGCAAAAGGTGCTAGTCAGACATAACAGACTGTTCTCTAGATATAATTTACTGAAAGACGCTAGATGGAGCTATGAGTCAGACCAAAAAATGTGCATTGCATCAAGATATAAGGTCAGTTGTCAAGTCTGTTTGCCTATTATATGACCATTATTTCAGATCTAACGAGGGTTGATTTCATGTTGCTAGCTGGTCGTGACTTTTGTTATATTTTTTTGGATCCTAGCTACTTATACTCCAACCCAACAGTATTTTCGATGCAAGAAGTCTTAGATAATGATAATAAACTGGATGTTCTTCATAACTAATTATCCATGACGTCATCTGAATATTTTCTTTTTCTTGATAATCATGTGAGAAATTTGCTTGCTTCCTTGGGAAAATGGACCTTTTTCTTCAGAACTTCACTAGTCTTGCAAGTAAGAAAAACATTTACGGTAAATGCAGGTTATCGGAATCAATGGAAAGTTCCCAGGACCTACTGTCAATGTGACAACTAACTGGAATGTAGTGGTGAATGTCAAAAATGATTTAGATGAACCATTTCTCGTCACATGGTATGTATAAAATTTCATATATTGTGGGCATTTTGTATCTGTCGTAAATGATGTTGAAACATGATTATATACAGGAATGGTTTTCAGCAGCGAAAAAACTCTTGGCAGGATGGTGTTTCAGGGACCAATTGTCCCATACCTTCTGGTTGGAACTGGACATATCAGTTTCAAGTCAAGGATCAGATAGGAAGCTTCTTCTATTTTCCTTCTACCAACTTTCAGAAAGCTGCGGGTGGTTATGGTGGGACTATCATAAATAACAGAGCTGTGATTCCAGTTCCCTTTGGGATGCCTGATGGGGATATAACAATCTTTATCAGTGACTGGTATATTAGGGACCACAAGGTTAGATGATATTCTCTTATGAAAATTCAGATAGGGAACCTTGATCTTTCTTAGAGTTATTTTATGTAAACTAACATAGCAAGGAAACAGGAACTTAGGAAAACTCTTGAAGATGGAGGTGATCTTGGAGTGCCTGACGGTGTAATCTTTAATGGACTGGGACCTTATCGTTACAATGACACAAATGTTCCTGACGGCATAGCATATGAGACAATAAATGTTGAACCAGGTAGATGTGTATTATTGAAATATTTTATCAATATCATTGACTGTGAAGTTTCATTTATTAGTTAGATATACTGTTGTAAATAGCAGCCGATGGCGGCGCTATTGCGGTGCAAATAGCAATAGCAGAGCCTACCGCTATGATTTCATCGATTGCAGTGAACAATAGCGCTCGTGAGTGCTTTTTGCTCGCGGCGAAATAGCGGCAAATAGCGGTAAATAGTGCTCATCTATCTATGTTTGAAGACAGGGATGGAGCCATATGGGACCCAATAGGGCTCTGGTCCCCTTAATAATTTACACTTAAATACCCTATAGTTTCCTCTATTGCACTTATATACCCTCAATTGTTTTGGACAATACTTACATACCCTAATGTACTAAAATGTTGCACTTATATACCTTCACTTGTTTTGGCAGTGCTTGTACACCCTAGAGTTTTTAAAACTTGCACTTATATAGTCTATAGTTTTTAAAATTTGCACTTAAATATAGTTATGCAAATGCGGAAAATTTCTGGCGAAAGTTTTCATGAAACATCACATACTAATTTAAGAAATTATTAGCCCTTTATTTTTGTTAAATTTATTGTTCAAACTACCCTAATTCTATTTTAAAATAGAATTTGGATATGTTTAACATTAAATCTAACATCTATCTAGAGTTAAAAACGTTCTAAATTTAAAATAGCATGTGAGTTTTCCATGAGAATTTTCTAGGGGAAATTCTTAAGTTTGCATAACTATTGGTATTTAAGTGCAAGTTTTAGAAACTTTAGGTTCTTTAAATACATGTTTTAAAAACTTTAGGGTATATATGTGCTGCCAAACATAAGTAATGATATATGACTACAAAGTAGAGAAAACTATAGGGTATTTAAGTACAATCAGGGAATTAATTGATAGTAATTTTCTAAATTATGAAGGCTGAAGTGTAAAATTCTCAAACAGTAAAAACCTGCTACTTTCTTTCCCACGGTTTTTGTAATTTGTATGAGATAGCGATCTTGAATATGGAAGATAATTTTGTGGTCGGTAGCTCAAAGCGTAGAGTTAAATGTCTACAAATATATTTTGAAACATTAATGAGAAAAATGTAATGAAATAGTTTCAAGAAATGAAGACAATAAGAATGATATTGTAAACACTATATTCTAGTTAGAAATATGATTTCAAAGTCTTGTTATGTAAAGATCTTTAAATGCTATTAATTGTGCAAAAGACTTTTATAGGTTATTATGTTTAATTATTTATTGGACCCCCTTACCAAAATTCCGGTCTCCGTCACTGCTTTAAGACTTCATTTTTATATCAAATTTCAAATAGTTAATACAATTATGTTGTTACTAATCAATGTTTTTGTGACACCCCACTTTAGTCCCACATGGACTAGTGTGAAAAAAATATTAGTGGTTTAAATAGAAAAAACCCAAGACCCAAGGACAACTAGTGTTAGTATTTTGGCAGTGGATTTTAGACAACCTACGAGCTGCTCTCCGTGGACCTACAGCTTGCACGCGCAAACGACCTGTGGGCCTAGGGCGTGACAAAATGGTATCAGAACAGTTACCAACCGAAAGTGTGAAGCTAAGTACTATATGGGACTAAGTACTATACCGCGTGGATGTGGTAGGAGCTATCTCTAGAGCTCGAATGAGCCACCTTCAGAGCTCATAGGAGCCACCTCTAAAGTCCATATTGTCTGACAGTGATACTAGGATGTGTCAAATTATCATGTCATGACGACGAAGACGTCGTCTTTGTAAGGTGGGGTGATTATGACAGCCCGTTTTAGTCCCACATGGACTAGTGTGAAGAAGTGTTAGTAATTTAAATAAAAAAAGCCTAAGGCCTAAGAACAATTAGTACTAGCATTTTGACAATGGATTTTAGCCAACATCGAGTTGTTCTCAGTTGGTTCCACGGCTTGCACCTGCCAACGGGTCCGGGACATGACAAAAACAACTTGTTACGTCCTAAAAATGCACAGCTAATTTTAAGATGTATGACAATGACAACACGTGCAAAAAACACATGCTAAACCTGCTGTGCACTTCTATATTACAAACAAATTTCACTTAAAAGAAATTTTATTGACAAATACAAATCCCAGAGTAAAAACTATATTTTAACAAGTTCATTCTAATGAACCAAGACTCTTATTACATAAGCATAGTAGCATGACTAGTATAAGTATAACTTTCAGCATCAAACACTCTAAAAGATTCTTCTCATGTTCCAAAGCTCCGAGGTTTAGATTAAACTATCTAATTTTCATCTGAAAAAGATTTAAAAACAACGGGGTGAGTTTACACTCAGTGAGCAGATAACTTATCATTAGCGGATCAGACGAGTTTAAGAAATTATCAATACTAAAATTCAAATAAGCTATTATAAAAAAAGATTGAGAAATACATAATATTTCGAATAAGAGGAATTTCGAAGAATAGCATGTGACATGGTCATAAAAGAATATTCACAAATTTAAGAAACAATACAAATGAACACTAAATACTTCTAAAACTGTAATTATCGATCTAAATTCACAGTTACAAAACTTCCTCTATTGTCACACTAAGGCTACAAAAATTATAGTCCAGTAGCATAGGAATACGCATCGAATTACTATAGGTCAACCTGGGGACAAAATGTACCTATCACTACCATAGATTGCCCGAAGGTCACTTTACTTTTGCCAAAAAATCACTTTAACACTGGTCGGTACATTCAATATCATATGATAGGCTTTAACAAATTACTTTACTCCATAGCGGACTTCTGAGGATTTTTAACATTTAAAACCCTTTTCTTTTCACTCAAAGTATCGCTTACAATTTTCACTTGTACGAAAAGCAATATAAATCCTTAAACACTTTTGCAAACTTTTCTCTTATCAATTTCATGAAAATAGAATATTCATGAATCTAAACAAATAAAAAAAAAAAATTTGTCAAATAGAACTCTTCAAATAATGCATTTGAACAGTAAATTAGAAATGATATATTTGCAATAATCTCATATACTAAACTATATTTATCTTGTAAAAGATAAATACCTATCACATTCAAATTTGTTAATAATTACTATCAATGAACAAAATAACATGTCTGATCCATAATTTCTCTACATAAAAATAAAATTATCATTTAAATAATATATAATAGAAAATAACCACTGAGAAGAAATTTACTCACCTCAAGAGATTTTATAACAAATTGGAGAACCGTACTCCAAGAACCTACTTCTCGATCAAACTTATAAGCATACAAGATGCATAAATACTAAAGATTTCTAAACACAAACTATTATAGGTATAAAACTAATATTTTTTGTTTCTAGGGGATTTTATTAAAGTTATGACTATCCTTTTTAAATAGAACTTGGGCCTAACAATGACTTTTCTAGGTTAATGGGTCAAAATGAAAATCTTTCCATTAATTAGGTTTTGTACAAAATCACCTTTTCAAATTATGGACTCAAAGCTAATTTTTGTATTTCTAAAGGTCTAACAATAATTTCCCTTTTCTTCTTCCTCTTATCTTTTCCATTTTGTTTGCACCATAACCCAAATGGATTTGTTGGGTTCGACAGCTATAAAGATTACCACCGGTGAAACCCACGACCATGGATGACCGGAGTTCATCGGATGTTGTCGGAGATGACACCGGTAGTCGGAAAAGTTATTATTTTTAACCTATAAACTAACCCATAAAACCTAACTAAAAAGTTCTCACTAACCTTTGAAGCTCAATCTCCTTTCTCTTCCACTCTCTGTGACCTGTAGATTCTTTCTTACATTTTCTTTTTGTTTCTTTTTCTTTGTAGAGTGGAGATCATTTGATTTGTGGGTTTTTTTAAGTTTTCATGGTTTTTGGATTTCTAAACTCTCATATTAATTATACTTACAACACAATAACCCAATTTACTACCTATAGTTATGAAACTCTTCATTAACTTAAAAAAACGGTTCTCTACATCCTCCCCACCTTAAATAAAGTTTCATCCTCAAAACATTACGTACCTTGGTTCTCAAAAAGTTGAGGATACTTCTGTCGCATCTCATCTTCAAGCTCCCTCGTTGCTTCTTTTGTAGAGTGATTCTTCTATTGAACCTTCATATATCGAATAATGTCTCCTAAGCACTTGTTCCTTATGATCTACAATACATTTCGGGTGCTCCTCATATGTTAAGTCTTCCTTTAGCTCAATGGATTCCAGTTCTATAACTTGATCTGAATCTCGAATAAATTTTTTAGCATAGATACATGAAACACATTGTGGACTCCAGCCAAAGAAGGTGGTAAAACAAGCCTATAAGCAACATCACCAACACACTGAAGAATTTCAAGCGGTCCCTCAAATCTTGGACTCAACTTTCCTCGGATTCCAAATCTTTTCACACATCTTCTAGGAGACACCTTTAAAAATACATGATCACCTTCTTGAAATTCTAAGTCTCTCTTCCTTCGATTAGCATAACTCATCTGTCTATTTTGTGCATTTCGAATATGCTGTCTTACCAAGTAAATCTTGTCTACAGCTTGTTGCACTAATTTAGGTCCAAGATGTTTTCTTTCTCTAACATCATCCTAGTGTCTAGGCGAACGACATTTACTTCCATATAGAGCCTTATACGGTGCCATCTTAATGCTTGATTGGTCACTATTATTATATGCGAACTCTGCCCACGGTAAATGCTCCTCTCATGATCCTTTTAAATCAAGGATACAACATCTTTAACATATCCTCGAGAGTTTGAATTGTTCTCTCTGATTGACCATCCGTTTGTGGATGATATGCTGAGCTAAAACAAAGTTTACTCTGAAGAACTTTGTGCACACCTTTCCAATACTCTGATATGAATCTAGGATCTCTATCAAATATTATATCCACCGGAACACCATGAAGCCTAACTACTTTAATAATGTACAACTTCGCAAGCTTCTCCAATGGGAACTTCATATTGATCGACAAGAAATGAGCCGACTTAGTCAGACGGTCCATTATGACCCATATAACGTTGTTACCTCTTGCAGAAGTTGGTAACCCTATGACAAAATCCATTAAAAATTTCTCCCACTTCCACATTGGTATGTCGAGATTCTGAGTTAATCCGGCTGGTCTCTCATGCTCTGCCTTTACTTTTTGACATATTTTACGCTCTGAAACATATTTGCTAATATCCCTCTTCATATTATTCCATCAGTATATCTCGTTCAAATCTTTGTACATTTTGGTTCCACCAGGATGCATTGTACATCCAGAACGACGAGCCTTCTTCAAAATCTTCTTCAATTTTGAATTATTCGGAACACGGAGTCGATTTCTAAACCTAAGGGATCCGTCATCGTGTATTACAAAATCTGGTATATCGAGATTCTGATGACCCAGAATGTATTGTAGATCATAAGGAACAAGTGCTCAGGAGACATACTATCGATATGTGCAAGTCATAGGTTCACGGAGAGCAACTCGTAGGTTGGCTAAATCTATTTTGTCAAAACGCTGGCACTAGTTGTCCTTGGACCTTGGCTTTTTTCTATTTAAATCACTAATATTTATTTATACTAGTCCATGTGGGACTAAAGTGGGGTGTCACAGTCTTTCTATTGTTGAGAATATTTCTATTAGAGACTTGAAAGTTGAAATAATAGGATAAATAATGATCATTTTGATAAACAGTATGCTTTTAATATAGTACAATACTTTTGTTAATATTGTGTGATTGTTACACGCCTCTTTTATGCTTAGGATCTCTATAAATCATCAAATATGCGTTTGTAGATTTTTTTAGATTTTTTTCATTTTTCTTTTTTGAAATATTTATACATATTTAAATTGGTCCGCTATTTGACTTTGCGTTTTTTACTGCTATTGCCCCAAATAGCCTTAACAGTGCCTCACCTCGATGCTATCTGCTATCGCTAACCTTGTATCATAGGTCCACAACTACTTATTTAGTGATGTCACAAGGAACTTTGCGCTACTACAAGAAAATTTTGGAATGCCAAACAGCCTGATTTCTTCTATTGCCAATTAGCATGCATGTTTCCTGGAATTGGACACAGCTAGATAATTTACAAAGAACTTTTTATTTCAGCTCAAGTAATTATGATCCATTGCAGCATACAGTCGTAAATTACTAAATCATAAGAAATTCCAGAATGTGTATAGAGATTAGTTATTGATTTACTCTTCGTGAGAGTGCATCTCTTGTGACTCTTATCTTAGTAAATAGTTCTTTTTGAACCAGGGAAGACATACCGTTTCCGAGTGCACAATGCAGGCATCTCAACATGTCTAAATTTCAGAATCCAAAACCATAACCTGCTGCTTGTAGAGACTGAAGGGTCGTATACTGTTCAGCAGAATTATTCAAACTTGGACATCCATGTTGGACAATCATATTCCTTCTTGATCACAATGGATCAAAATGCTAGCAGTGATTACTATATTGTAGCCAGTGCTCGATTTGTCAATGCAACTGTTAGGGATAAAGTTACTGGGGTTGCTGTACTTCATTACTCCAATTCGCAGGGTCCTGCTTCAGGTCCACTTCCTGATGGACCTGATGAAGCGGACACATATAGTTCAATGAACCAAGCAAGGTCAATCAGGTATAATATAGATCCTAACACACACAACATTTTTCTTTTACATACATGTTTATTTAGGGTTATTTCCATAGTAGTCCCTCGATATTAGTCCCTCAAAATTTTCATATTCTGAGACTGATAACCAATCAGTGAAATTACTGTTAAGTACCCGAAATCATATAAGATGTTTGAAATTAGTTCCTTCATTACAAAGTCCATTAATCGATAAACCATGAGTAGGGTTAGTTCTTAACTATGGATGGGTAGCTACCAAATTACCCTCACTAAATATCTCCAACAAACTTCAGTTTTCCATCTCTCTAGTTCCCGCTTCATCTTCTGAGAAAGTGAAATTTCCCTATTTTTCACGTCCAAAATCAATACTATATTCCTTATCTCCTGCTGGAAATTAGGTTTGGATTTTGTAGTACTTCAAAGTATAAAATTTATAACACTCCACCCTCACCACAATTTCAGAGTTTTGGTGTAGTGGCAGGGACAGAGCCCATGGTTTGAGGGGCCTTTGTTGGATGCTTTTTATACTTAAAGATTTTTTTGCATGGGTTAGCGCTCAAGGCGTCATGCACATAATGTTATGATTGCCAGTCCTGTAGCTTGGTCTAACACGGGTTCGGGCTCCCTTGAGTGCACATGCTGTCACATTTGTGATGGGGGTGACTATGTTCGTCTCTGAAATAGTTGAGGCGTCATATCCATTAACCATTTATTCTGGACTCTAAGGACTCTAATTGGATTAGGACTGGGCCCGAGCCAAGGTGGAGATCTGTAGATAGTGTCTCACATCCATTCGGTTTAAGTGCGTGTTATGTTGGAAAAGGCATGGGAAGAGATTGAGTCACACATCAGATGGAGAGTAAGATGATATCAGAGAAACCTAGGTTGGAACCTTGCTGGCCACAAATTTCTAAAGCGGGCTAAAAATATACCGTTCTATGAGTCTAGATTTCGGCCCATTGAAGGGGTCCTCAACCCAGCGTGTTAATCCTCAACTCACTAAAACTTTGGAGTTTTGGTGTGGTGGCAAGGACTGTAAAATAGTAAAAAGGGTATAACTGACATTCCATCCGAAATGGTTAAGATATAGGAATGCTTCCCCCAATTCAGATGGGTGCTAACCAGGGTGACTAATTTCAAATAGTTATATGATTTGGGAGACTAAGCTCAAGATATGAAAGATTTGAAGGACTAATTTTGAAATAACCCTTTTATATTTACCTTGTTTTACTTGGTTGATTTGCTGCATTTATACATTGATGTAATCACAAGTTTATGATGGTCGTTTTCTGTTCAACCACAGATGGAATGTCACTGCTAGTGGAGCTCGACCCAATCCACAGGGATCTTTCCGATATGGAGATATCACTGTTACAGATGTGTATGTAATAGTTAGCAAACCCATAGAGCTTATTGATGGGCGATGGTGTGCGACATTGAATGGAATTTCTTATATTTCCCCTGCAACACCTCTGAAGCTTGCACAACAATTTAATGTGCCAGGAGTTTATAAGCTTGATTTTCCAAATCACATGATGAACAGACCTCCAAAAATTGATACATCTATAATTAATGGTACTTATAAAAGTTTCACAGAAATTATACTCCAGAATAATGGTACCAGTGTTCAAAGCTACCACATGGATGGATACGCATTCTTTGTTGTCGGGTAATGCTCAAGGTCCATATGATATTATTTATATTATTTTGTATATGTGGCATGAATACTTAGATTTCATATTTTTTTCATTACATATTTTTTAGGATGGACTTTGGAACCTGGACAGAGAATAGCAGAGGTACTTACAATAAGTGGGATGGTGTTGCTCGTTGCACAACACAGGTATGATGGTATTGCCTACTGAATTGCTGCTACAGAATGATTTATTTAGGATAGTAATTGCTGTAGCACAATTTTCTCTTTGAAAAACACTAAGGTTCTGTTTGGTTTGAAAGGAAATGAACTAAAAGAAAATAAAATGGGAAAGAAAATAGATTGTTGTAGTTTGGTTTGGAGGAAAGATGAAATAGAAAATGAAAATAAGATTCCAAAAGAGAAAAAACCACCACAGATATCATTCACAGTTTCTTCATTCCAAGCTAGTAAAAGTAGATGAAAAAAATGTCGAAGTGGCTTCGAAGAGGATGCTGATTACCTCTAGCAAAAGCAACTCCTCCCCCAAATACACCCCCTCTTCCCTCAACTTTTGTTATATGTGGACCTCACTAAAGAAAAGCTTGGATCAATTGCTCAGTTTGAATCTCATGTGGGCCCCATGTATAGAACAATGAATGAGCTATAGGTTGGCTCATATAAGAAAAAAATGATTAATTTCAAAATACCCCTTTAACTTTAGGGGCTTTACAGACACCCTTCTGAGCTATTTTATTCCATGAACCCCCTAAACTTTGAGGGTTTAGAATTGAAATAGTTAGGGGTTATCCACAAAAACCCTAAGAAATTCAAGGAGTTTTCTACAATTAACTCAAAAAACTCATTGAGAGAGTTAGAATATTTTTATACAAAAGAGATGAGAATTTTAAAAATATCAAAATATATATAGTCTTAATTTTGTTGATTTATATATTGGTTAGAGTCTTAAAAACTTAGAAAATTATATCTTAAATTGTTTAAAATATAGAAAACAATTCTAAAAAATATGGTGTTCAAGAACTTCATTATATTTTCTTCTTAATTTTCATAAACAAGTAACCAAATAAGACAAGTTACTTCCTTTATATTATTTCCCTTCTAACTTTTTCCAATTTTCTAACAAACCAAACAACAATATGAATCTTAATTTCTTTTCTTTTTCTTTTCTCCTCCTTTCTCTCAAACCAATGACAGCCTAAAGGAAAAAATGGTTGAAAAAGATTGTTGAAGCTTTTCAGTTTTATAGTTTTCAATTTAGTAGAAATTTTCTCGTAGCCTTGTCCATAGAAATCAAATTATAAGTTAGGAATCTAATTGATTTAGAAATAATTTTATTGCCTAATTATTAGGAAATTTACATTTTGGTATGATTATGTTTTTTTTCCTAAGGATTTTGTTTAGTAGGATACCTATGTTTTTTTTCCTAAGGATTTTGTTTAGTAGGATACCAAGTTCTGTAAATCTATAGAAAAACTAGTTTTCCTTCAATAAAGTTTAGAGGATATTTTTGAAAAAAGTTGATATTTGTTTGGAATTGATTGATGTTTGTTTGGAGTGGATGATGCAATCTTTGGTGCGTAACTCTAATTTTAAGATGCCATACATAAATGTGGTGTAAATTCATCCAAGCGTGAGCAAAAATTACAATCTTCTCAGCTAATGTTAAAATTTAAATGTACAGTTTGACGTGTCTGCCAAATTGTTTTCTGCAAATAAACTAAGGAATCTGGATATTAGAGTAAGATAATAACTTTATGTTGCAGGTATTTCCTGGGGCATGGACAGCCATCCTTGTTTATCTTGACAACGTAGGTATATGGAATTTGCGTGCAGCAAATCTGGATACCTGGTACCTTGGCCAGGAAGTATATGTGAGCGTTGTCAATCCAGAAATTAACACGAAAACCGACCTCCCTATGCCTGATAATGCTATCTTTTGTGGTGCATTATCAACCTTACAAAAGTAAGAGTTTATTAGACCTATTAGTTACTATCTACTACTCATATATTGGTTAAACTATCACTAGGTTATATGGGAGCTTTCGTTGCGAATTCTGACTTTTTTCTTTAACCTTTGATGATCTTTCCTTTGCAGTCAGCAGTCCCATAAATTTAAATTTTCCAAAGCTTCATCCCTCATCAATTTAAGCGATATCAGATTTGTTTGGATTCTCACTATGTGGCTTGGTGTTCTTGTCTTGTGACCTGAGTACCAACCAGCAATACTAATGTGGCGGCGGGTGTTCTTGTCTTGTGACCTGAGTACCAACCAGCAATATTAATGTGGCAG